GGAAAGCTAGGATTTGCGTAGCCTGTCGACTGCCGCATGTAAATATCTTCTTCTATGTGGCCATTGAGGAAGGCGTTGTGGACGTCTAGTTGGCGCATGGTCCAGTTAGCTGACACGGCAAACGCCAGTAACAGCCGTATGGTGGTACGCTTAACCACGAGGCTGTATGTCTCAAGGTAATCTTCGCCCGGGATTTGATTAAACCCCTTGGCAACTAAGCGGGCCTTGTAATGCTCCACGGTACCATAAGATTTCCGCTTAATGCGAAACACCCACTTACTACCTATTACATTCATATTTTCTATTATAGGTACAAGGCGCCATGTATTATTTTGCAGGAGGGTGTTGAATTCAGCATCCATCGCGGCACGCCATTGTGGTGACTTGACAGCTTGGGTATGACAGGAGGGCTCATCATTTTCGACCGAAGCTACCAAGGCGGTAGGGCGACGTTTCACATGTGTCGTGGTGCGCAGTTGCATGCCATGCGTGCGTACAGTGGATTTTATGCGACGCCGCCTGTTGGCGGTGGTGGACGACGAGGTCGTCGGTTGCTGGGATGAAGACGTTGCTTCGGTTGAAGACGATGAAGGTGGTACGACCGGAGGCTGGGCCGGTGATGGAGGGCGGCGACTGGTTGCAGCGGCTGCCGGTGGACGCGGTGGTAGGCGCCTAAGCTGGGGTGGTGGTGCGACAACTGGCGCAGCTGGAACCGGGTGGGGTGCCGAATGAACACTTGCGCTGCCCCAGGGTGATGTAGCGCCGTTTGTGGGGACACCAGTGGTATGTTGCCGCTCTTGTTGATAGGGAAATATGTCTTCATTAAAGCAGAATGCCTGCAAAGTACACTCGCCCGGTTTGTCTGTCCAAGCACCTGTAACCAAGAACAGAATCTGGGTATCCTAGAAACACACAAGGAGTGGACTGATAATCCATCTTGTGCTTGTTATACGGACGGAGGCACGGGAAGCATTCGCACGCAAACACCCGTAGTAGACTATAATTGGAAGACTTGTGATACAGGAGGGAGTAAGGACTGACATTTTGTGTGACTGTGGACGGAAGGCGGTTTATTAGATGTACCGCGGACTCGAAAGCAAAAGACCAATATTTCTGAGGGACACGACTTTGGGCGAGTAAGGTTAGCTCGGTTTCTACCACATGCCGGTTTCACCGCTCCACACGTCCATTTTGTTCGTGGGCATGTGGAGCAGATTGGCGATGAGCAATTCCAACGGTAGTAAACACCGTGTTTAGCTTTCGATACTCCCCACCCATATCTGATTGTATGCACTTAATTGTTGTTGAAAAATATTTTTCTACGTAAGTGCGAAATTTGGTAAAAACGGAATATATATCGGATTTTAATTTCAAGGGATAGTACCAAATAAATCGTGAATAGTCATCAATGAAAAGCACAAAATACTTAAAACCATCAACTGACGGGACCGGGGCTGGTCCCCAAATGTCCGTGAATATTAAGTCGAGTACATTTTTACTAGATTGTTCGACGCATGCCAACGGGAAGCGCGCAAACTTGCCCAATTGACATGCTGTACACAATTTATTTAAAGAGGAAAAAGACCCATCAACCGGACAACCAGAAAGAACCTGACGCAAGACGCGAGGGTGCGGGTGACCAAGACGGTTATGCCATATTCTGGGTGACACTTTGGCTAAAACTAACGCAACTGGGGAAGCCGTAGGCAGAGCGTACATCCCACCATGACTGGGGCCGCTAAGAAGAACTTGCTTGGTTGTATGGTCCTTCACAAGAAAATGAGAGGGATGAAACTCGAAGTAAACGTTATTGTCACGTGTAAATTTGTGTACATATAATAGGGATGCTTTTAGCTTAGGTACGTGTAGAACGTTATTTAGAAACAATGACCGAGAACTAGATAAAAGAGTGACTGAACCTGTGTTCAAGATCGACAGACCTGAACCATTACCTACGCGTAACGTCTCATCACCACCATATTGTTCCACGTTGTTGAGGGTCGCCGCATTAGGCGTTGCATGAGCATTGGCGCCAGTGTTGGGAAACCAAACATTGTTAAAAGGTGCTGTGTTAAAGTGCTCTTGCAGTTGATGCAAGGACATGTGAGCTTGTCGAGGTATGGCTGCCGGTTGCCCATACTGTGACGGCGAGTGACGCTGCCCGGCAACATCGACAAACCTCCGGTAACAAGTCAGGGCAGTGCGCCCGATTGCGTCGCACAGCTGGCAGCGAACTCCACCATCGCGTCCTCTCTGGCCACGATTGCGGCCGCGATTGTTATTATGAAGACCGCGACCGCGACCATTGCTGCGGGGTGCCGACAAGTGTTGCGCAACCATCACTGCCGGCTGAAGGGGCGACGAAGTGGAGTCCTCCGGGAACAGGTAGTGGTGGGTAGACAGAAGGTCTGACACTTCCGGGATCGTCAGCGACGCATTATTAGTGGTCAAGGAGGCGACAAGGCTTCGATATTCCGATCGGAGTCCCCAGAAAACATGGAGGTTCTGTTCATCCAGTCCTATTGGGCGTCCTGCCTGGGCAAGCTGTTCGACCAGCACTTGAGCCCTGCCCAGATACTCTGTCGGAGTGGAGTCCCCTTGCCGGAGACTTTGGAGCTGAGTCAGGAGGCTAAGCGAACACGCACGGGAGGCGGAGCCGAGGGCAGTTTCGATGGACACCCACACCGATCGCGCCGTGTTGTGACCTATCGCAAGGTATAGAACCTCCTCCGACACGGAGGAGATTAACATGCTTAAAATGGACTGGTCCTGTTGGACCCAAGTTGCGTGAAGCGGGTTAACAGCCGGTGCTGCGGCTGAGGAGTCGGCTGGAGTTTCTGGAGGACACGCCATGGTTCCGTTGACATAGCCATACAGGTTCTGTCCTTGCAGGAAAGGTACTAGTTGGGCTTTCCAGAAGAGATAATTGGCGGAGGTGAGTTTGAGAGAGACGTAATGGTGGGCTTGTTGCAACATGTTGGAGTTCCGATGGCCAGCTCTGGTGACGGCACCAGTAGAACCGTTGGGGGAATCGGGAGTGGGTGAGGGAGTTTCGTTGGTTGCCATAGGATCAACGAGGCAAACTGATACCAGATCGATGAAATAATAATAATGTGTCTATTGAGCGTAGATTACAGGACTACTTATACACAGAGATTAGCAAAAAGATAGGTAACTGTTACACTTTTAGCTCTAACCAATACTTAACAATCTAACTGACTAACAATAAAATTATTTTTCTTAATTAATTTATTGATAATGAATAACTTTTTTTTTTTAATAAAGACATTGTAGTGACAATGTAGCGAATATAATCAATTGATAAATTTGAATGTAAAGAATTTTTATATTAGAGAAAAATAAAGACAATATAAAGAATAAATTATTTCTCTTATTTAATTTATTGATAATGAATAATTTTTTTTGAATAAAGACATTGTAGACACATAATTCTAAATTAAGGAAATGCATATGTATTATTTTTTGTTGTAGCTACTAAATTATTATTTAATTTAATAAGAATAAAATAGAGTACTAATTACGCCAACTTTGATTGGGATGGGGTTCGAACCTAAGACCTTTCTTATTAAAATCAATGAGTAAGTTAACGGTGAATTAACAGAAATTAACGGAAAAGATAATGTTAGGAACCTTGTATTAGGATTTTGATGATACCAATGTAATGTAGAAAGTAGACCCCTAACTATTAGCTTTTTCGATTGCTACTTTCGTCCTAGACGAGAGTTGCCATAACTCCCCTGTAATTCGTGTTAAGCCAGACAAACACACGAAAATGAGTTATGTCTAGTTGATAGGGTCTCCAAGACGAAAGAAGACACAAGGCATGATAAACAGCAACGAGAATTAATCAGGAGTTGTCAACTACCTCGAAAGGACAGATTTGTTAAAGAGGATTCTCACCAAGCACTCTTTCTCTTCAACAACGAGAAGAATGTTTTCTCTGTCTGATTTGACAACATCCTAGGAACATAAGGACCTCAACTTGTGGGACACGTTTACCAAGGAGCACTAAATGAAGATATACCATCTCCTGGAGCTAAAGGACAAAACCCTAATGCTCTCCATACCTTCAACGGCTACATGGTACAACCTCATTAATGGAGCATTTAATGCATGAAGCTCCCCAGTCCTTATCCACTGGATAAAGGGTTCGAAAATTTCATCTCCCTCCAACGGATGAATTTTCATCACCTATATAAACCCACCTTCATCAACTAAGAAGGTGTTGGTTCCATTCACTCGATCATCTATATGCAAAAGCTCTTAAACGTTCTCAGCTCTCTCAAGCTTTTGTGAACCAGTGTTGAGGTGCTAAGATATTTGAAAAAGTTCATTGATCATCATCTTACACCTTAAAGAAGTCTTGCCATTTGTACGAAGCAATCATCTTACACAGTCAAGACTTCATCAAGTTGGAGAAATTAGAAATCATTTTCTACCAACCTCAACTTTGAAGAAGAAGTTGATAGAGGCGGAGTAAACTCGAGGAGTTGAAAAACCTACGAAGGCTGTCCGGCTCAGTGATCAAGCAAGTCTTTGTGTAATTGTACTAACGAGTGATAGTGCAATCCTTCCATAAGTTGTGGAAGAAGAGTGGAGTAGGCAACGTTAGCCGAACCACTATAAAATCTCTTGTCTCTTTATCCTCTTTATTTACTCTTTTTATTTCTGCATCATATTACCATCATCATCATTGTCGAAAGTTTTCTTTACAACGTAAACTCGTGCAAAGCAAATAATTGTATTTGACATTTCCGCTGCGCCAAAACACCGAAAGGTAGTTTTTAGAGCTTAACACGAAAAGGGTCTATTCACCCCCCCCCCCCCTCTAGACTCTCACTACATTCTATCGGGACCAACAAGTGGTATCAGAGCCAAATACCTTGAACGGTAAAGGCTTTGAATTTACTGCCTGGTAGATCCCCTATCAAAATTCTGAAAAACTGTATATTTTTCAGCTTTGCACGAACTTTTGCAAAATGGAAAAGGATCATGCTAACCGCTTTAAGCAGCTCGTTTTCAGTCTTGCTAAATTTGATGACTGGAAGATAAGAATGCAGGCACTCCTCTGCTCCATACATGACGAAATGTGGGACGTCATAACAACTGGACCAATTACAGTTATGATGGCGAACACACAAGCGGCAGCTCAAGGGGCCGGTGCTGAGCAAATGATACCGAAGCCAAAAGATTCATACACCTCGGAAGAAAGGACAAGAGCAAACCTGGACAACGTAGCACGAAATATCCTCTACAACTCCCTTGACGACTCCTTGTTCCCAAGAGTCCGAAAGTGCAAGAATGCCATGGAAATATGGAAAGTTCTGATGGAACTAGGAGAATGGGATGAACAGGAGAAAGATAACAAATTGACTGTAGCTATGAAGAAGTTTGAAGATTTCAAAATGCTTCCAAATGAAACAATTATGGACATGGAGCTGAGATTCACCAGATTCATGAGAGATCTGACAGATCTCGGGAAGGAACTATCTGAAAAGGAAAAGAATCTGAAAATACTTCGTGGTCTGCCAAAATCTTGGGAAATGAAAGTCATCGCAATGAGAGACAGCAAAAATTTTCAGTGATCTTAAGGCATACGAGTTTGAGCATGAACTGAAGGATGTCGAAGAATCAGAAACCAGAAATGTAGCTCTCGTGGCCAGCCAACAAACAACATCATCAAACAGGTCAAAATCTAACTCTTGTGATTTCTTATCTGATGAACGGTATGCACTATTTGTTAGGAAAATGAAGAGGTTCATGAGGAAGAACAACTTCCAAGACTCACACCGTTCGGGTCACCGAATGCAACACGAAAGTTCACCTCAAACCACAAAAGCGAAAACCTCGGAATCGCAACTGCTGTGCTACAATTGTCGAAAACCAGGACACTTTAAGGCCAATTGTCCTCATCCAATAGTGAGCAAGCATCAAGACAGAAACACTACCAAAAGCCCATCCAAGGAGACTGGAGAAAGATAAAAAAGAAATGACAAGCCAGAATCATCAAGCTCCAGAAACGAGAGAAGAAGAAAGGCGATGGTAGTAAACGAAACCTCTGACACAGTTGAGGACGAAAGTAGCTTCTCGAGCTCGAGTTCAGATGACGAAAGCACTAAAGAAGAAAAAGGACTACTATGCCTGCTCAGCCAAGAATCAGAAGATCTATGTCTTATGGCTGACGAAGATGAGGTAAACTCTCATTCATCTTCTTGTTATTCAGCTGAGTCAAGTTCTGTAGGGAGTCAAACCTCCAATGAATCTGTTACCGAAATGATGAGGAGGTTCAAAGTGATCAAAAGCACATACTCCAAACTTAAGGAGGAGAACTCTCGGCTCATGATTAGCTACAATGCGCTGAGGCAAGTTCGAATTGAGAACATTAAGCTAGCCATTGCTAAGGCGCAACTTGAGAAAAATGTTCTCACTCTGAAGGAGCAGTGCACAGCAAGAGAGAAGAGAGAACAAGACTGCTTGAAGTCTTGGACAAATTCAATAACTCATCCAATCTAATGGATCGAATGATGAATGAATCCAGACTGCCCGGGGAAAGAACGGGAATTGGTTCTGACCCCAGCTCTTCTTCACAAACCTGCTTGAACAAATTCACGAATGCATATTCACACGAAGGCTTTCAAGCTGCATTTGTTCAAGGTCCAACCCAGGTGTCTGAGACAATGACGAAAGTTAACAACGATGCCATACCACAACCAACAAGCTTACCGAAGGGAAGGGCTGTACAACGAGTTGTGGATCCTCGAAATGAAAAATCTTACAAAGGCAATCTTAGACAAAAATATGTCAAAAGGAATGGACCAAATGGAAATAGACAGAGTCTACACCATAAGAAAGGACGGCCTACTAAGAATGTTCAATCAAGGAAAAGGCTGAATGTTGACCAGAGGCAATATCGTCCTAAAAACCCTGATCAAGGAAACCCGAAAAATGGACGAGTCAGACAACCCGAAAGATCCTTCATAAGATCTGGTTATGGCAATGGATGGACTGGGCCATCAGAAGAAGATTGGTATGATTACCCAGAACCTCTGTCTAAAGCAGAACTACGAAGGATTCATCTGCATAAACAAACCAATCATCTCAAGCATTATGAAAATCCTCCTCAGGAATACCTTCGTAAAAGATATAATGCTAAAGTCTTTGCCAACATACATTATGATTATCGCACATCTAATGGGTATAAAGGACCAAGGATGAGTCGTGGACACTCTAGGTTGATGTGGGTTCCAAAGTTGATAGCTAACCCTCAAGGACCCGAAATTCAAGGGGTACCTAAAAACATATAATCTTTGCTGCAGGAAAAACAAGTCATATGGTATGTTGATAGTGGATGCTTAAGACATATGACTAGTGACAAAATAATGCTGAGCAACTTCATAGAAGTAGATGGACCCAAAGTCATCTTTGGAGGAGAAAACAGTGGCAAAACTCATGGAAAGGGGGATATTATCAAAAAGGGAATAACAATAAAAGATGTGTCTTATGTTGAAGGACTGAAGTTCAATCTCCTAAGCACGAGTCAATTCTGTGACAAAGGATATAAAGTTGAATTTTCCAAGGATGAGTGTAAAATCGTGAACACGAAGGATGGCAAGACAGCTTTAATTGGTCAACGAAAGAAGAACATGTACGTAATATCTTTGATTTCTTCTAACGCTAACGTTTGTTTTGTGGCCAAAAGTAATGCAGATCTTAATCAAGAATGGCACAATAAACTAAGCCATCTAAACTTAAAGACAATCAGCAAGCTCGCCAAAAGAAATCTCGTGAGAGGTCTGCCCGAAGCATCATATACGAATGATAAAATATGTGAGGCATGTCAAAAGGGAAAACAATTCAAGTCATCCTTTAAGTCGAAAGATGTGGATGCAAACTCTCGATCTCTAAGCCTTCTACATATAGATCTCTTTGGACCAGTTGATCCAGCAAGTTTGAGTGGAAGAAAGTATACTCTCGTTATAGTAGATGACTACACGAGATATACTTGGGTGATTTTCTTGAAGAAGAAGAATGAAACAGAAACAGTTCTTCCAAATCTCTTAAGACAACTTCAAACAGAAAAGGAAGTCAAAATCATTCGGATAAGATCAGACCAGGGAACTGAATTTGTTAATAAGTTCATAAAAGACTTTTGTGCGCAAAATGGAATCTTTCATCAACTCTCGGCAGCACGAACTCCTCAGCAAAACGGAGTGGCCGAAAGGAGAAACAGAACCTTGAAAGAAGCTGCATGTACAATGATCTCGTATTCAGGCCTACCAAAGAGATTTTGGGTCAAAGCTATAAATACGGCATGCTACACACAAAACAGATCCTTGATCAACAAATCTCACAACAAAACACCATATGAACTATGGAAAGGTAAAATACCTAGTATTGGTTATTTTCATGTCTTTGGTTGCAGGTGTTTCATACTCAACAACGGAAAGAATCATTTGAGGGCCTTTGACGAAAGAGCCGATGAAGGATTGTTCATGGGATATTCCTCTGTAAGCAAAGCATTTGGAGTTCTAAATAAACGAACGATGGTAATTGAGGAATCCATCCATGTTAAATTTGATGAACAATCTGAGAAGAATCCATCCGGCATCAAAACATCAAACAATTCGGGTCAAAACCCTCAGCAACGTATTGTTGAAGAAATTTCAGACGAAGAAGATATACTATCGTCCTACACGAAATATCAGCTAAAGGTTTCACAACCCGAACCTACAACTCAAGAAAAGGTCACAACTCAACAAAATGATCCTGTGGTTAAGAGATCACCCACCGAGTCAAGTGATAGGAAATATTCAAGAAGGGGTACGAACAAGAGCCTCTCTACACGAAAGCATGATGGCATGCTTCTTATCACAAATGGAACCCAAGACCATAGAAGAAGCCTTAAGTGATCCTGATTGGGTAATCGCCATGCAAGAGGAGCTTCATCAGTTTTAACGAAATGATGTGTGGGAACTTGTGTCGAGACCAACTCATCAGAATGTCATTGGAACTAAATGGGTCTTTATAAACAAAATGAGTGAAGATGGGCTCATTGTTAGGAACAAAGCTCGTCTTGTAGCCAAGGGATACTGCCAAGAAGAAGGAATCGATTTTGATGAAACTTTTTCCCCTGTGGCGAGACTTGAAGCCATACGAATATTTCTGGCCTTTGCAGCTTACAAGAACTTCAAAGTCTATCAAATGGACGTAAAAAGTGCCTTCTTAAATGGGCTCCTTGAAGAAGAAGTGTATGTTGAGCAACCGCCTGGTTTCGTAGTTAACAATGAACATGGAAAGGTCTATCATCTCAAAAAGGCCCTATATGGCTTAAAACAAGCTCCAAGAGCCTGGTATGATACTCTCTCACACTTCCTTATCAACTGTGGATTTATGAAAGGAGTTGTAGACAAAACACTCTTTCGTATCAAGACAATGATCACATTCTTCTAGTACAAATCTATGTTGATGACATCATTTTCGGGAGCACGAATCCTGTGCTTTGTGAAAAGTTCTCAATTCTCATGCAAGGCAAGTTTGAAATGAGCATGATGGGAGAACTTAACTACTTTCTGGGATTGCAAGTAAAGCAATGCTCAGATGGAATATTTATCAGTCAAGCTAAATACACTAAGGATCTAATTCGAAAGTTTGGCGTTGATGGAAAAACATTTGTCAAAATTCCAATGAGCACATCGCTTAGAATGGACATTGATAATGAAGGAAAAGATGTTGACCAGAAAAACTTTCGTGGCATTATCGGCTCCCTTTTATACCTAACAGCAAGCAGACCTGACATTTCGTTTGCTGTTGGTGTATGTGCACGATTTCAAGCGAAACCAAAAGAAAGTCACTTAAGTGCAACTAAAAAGATCTTGAGATACCTCAAAGGAACGCAAAGTGTTGGACTTTGGTACCCGAAAGGAGGATCTTTCGATCTTGTTGGCTATTCAGATGCCGACTTTGCAGGATGCCGAATTGATAGAAAAAGCACCTCAGGAACGTGCCACTTCCTAGGGGGAAGACTTGTGTCATGGTTCAGCAAGAAACAACACTCCATTGCTACTAGTACGGCTGAAGCCCAATACATAGCAGCTGGAAGTTGTTGTGCCCAAATTTTATGGATGTCACAACAATTAAAAGATTATGGCATAAATGCACGAGAAGTGAGCATCAAATGCGATAACACGAGTGCAATTGCTATTACACATAATCCTGTCTTACACTCACGAACTAAGCACATTGATATCAAATATCATTTTATTCGTGATCATGTCGAGAGGAAAGACATATCTCTTGAGTATGTTAACACTGATGATCAACTTGCGGACATACTCACGAAACCTCTAAGTGAAGCAAGATTATCCTCTCTAAGGCATGAAATAGGAATGATTGAAATGACATAAAGCCTTGAGAATCAAATCTGCAAAGATTCTCATTCTCGATATTCAAAAGATTCGATCCAACCTCACACGCAAAGTTCTCTATAAAATAAGGTACAATACGTAAATAAGCCTTCATAACTAACAAAAATTCTAGTGTTTGTCTTTGTGTGTGCAGATATGAGTACAGGAAGCGAGAGAACAAT